CCCCCCACCCCCCCCCGCCGGTCGGTGTGGAGTTGGTCCCACACCAGATAAAAAGTCACAAGGGGGAAAAAACACTGCCGTAGATTAACACAGATCTCTTCCCACAATAACAACCTGAAGACTAATTACAGATTTGATTATCTATTGGGGCCCCATTCCACCCTTTTTTAAAAATTTATTCTCTTGGCTGATAAAACAAGTTCTGTAGAAGTTGAAAGACGGCCCATAATTTGCCCAAATACATCTAGTATCTTAGTATGACTTTGGAAATAACCTAAATAGCTAATTCTTGTACATTTTAATACTGAACAGTTTTTAAAATCATTTGCAAAGTACAAGAGAACGGAGCTGGGACTCAGATGTACCGTACCCAGCCCTCATCCATAATTTCCCCAAAATTACAACATGCCCCATCTTTTTCCATTGGAATGATAAATTTCAGCATTATTACATTTTGAGTCCATCTTGCCACAGATCCAATTCTGAACATCTCCACAACCTCTTTTCCAACTGATTAGAGCATGCTGGCTGGGGAATTCTGGGAGTTGAAGTCCACACATTTTAAGTTGCCAAATTTGTAAAAAACACTGAATTAGAGCATTTGACGTTAGGAAAATCTGTTACAACAGCTCTTTCCAATTCTTGGATTTTTTCTTCCCTTGGAGATGTCTCTTAAAATCTAAGGAATCGTTATGGCTTATCTACTAAGGCAAAGTTTGTTGGGGGAAGAATGCAAATTAGCAATCTATTGTTACACACTAATATGTATAGGACGAATATCCGGCTGTTGAACTTCCAATAAAGGTCAACAGCTGAAGTGCCCCCCCCTCCTGCCCCCAGGTCTCCTGGACTAGTCTGGGCCTGTCTGAACCTACTTAGCTTTAGAGGAAAAGCATCCTTTCCATTAAACCCACTACTTCAGACACCAGTGCAGTTTTGCACTCTGAACTGAGAAAATACATTGACTAGGAGGATTTTAATAGTAACTATATGGATTTTATGGGAGATGAAACTTGATCAAGACAAGATCCTGGACAACCTGGAAGATCATTTGGGGGGCACCCATCTGCATAATGGAGAAATGTCTTTGCTATTTCATCATCCTCAGAGATGGACTGTTCACAACACTCCGGTAAAAAGACATTTTTTCCTTCTTGCAAAAAATAGCTTGCATTTATTATCCAAGTGTTAAATGTAACAATAGAAATGTACGGTGGGATCCTGGGCATGTTTTCCTGATACTGATACGGTTGAATAGGTGGATCTTTAACCTTTCTTTTAAAAAAAAAAAAAAAGTAAGTCATTGAAATGTGGAGATTTCAAAATAATACTTAGCAGGCTAAAAATAAGACCTTCCAATTAGGCAGAATAATTTGGTAGGGTTTCTAGAAAGAGAGCCTTGATGAGGGGCACGAAATGGAAAAATACTCTGCGTGTGATTCCTGCGGGAAAGCAAGAATCTGTAGTTGATCCCTCCCAGCCTTTACTTATAATGGGTCTTTTAACCTTAGTGACCATCTTTAGGATAAGGATGTAATAACCCATGTCTGAAACCTCTCGAGGCACAGAAGAATTAGCCTGTAATTTCCCCTTCCTTTTGGTGCCCCTTCCTTATGGCAGAGATAGATTAGGGACCCTTCCCTGGATATTATTTCTTTCTGATACCAGACTTCCTAGTATTGTATACTGTCCCTTATAGGTGTATTGCCTCTTTCTGATAACCAGATGTCACCCAACAGTCATTCATCATAATACCCTAGGTTTGCACCGGTATGACGTGCAAGGTCATACAGAGGCTCCTAACCAATCATTATTCTTCCTTTCGGCTCTGTTTTCTTGAACTTAATGTATAAAAAACCCAATTTCTTTGTGTTTGGGTGCGTCTTTTGACAGAGGTAGCCCCTTTACTGCTGCGCAACAATGAAGGAAACATCTAAAGGTTTCTCGCGTCCAGTGAAGTTATCGGCAGTCGTCTCCAGGCAAGAACCCTGTTTTGGGTCCAACAATGTAGAAATGATTATAAAAAATGTTCATAGCTTTGTTAAAAATTACAAATAGAAAAGATAAAAACTAATACAGACTACCCAAAACAATTAAAAAAGAGATAAGCAGTTTTTTCTTTTTTATTCTTGTTTTTTGTGGTCTGTACTCATTTTTATCTTTTCTATTTGTCATCTTTAAGAAAATGAGTTGAAAAAAAAATGTTCATAGCTGACTTCACGATTTCAGAAATGCTGCTCTCTTGCCACTGACTTAAAATTAAGGAGAAAACTGCATTTAAAACATGGCTTAAAGATTGTGTAACTATCTTAATTGTCAAAACCCGGCCAGCCTTTGATGACAGCTAATCTGTGAGTCGAAAAAACCAAAGCAGGATTTATAACTCGCGTTATCAGTCGCCAACAACTGGAATGGAACTTGATTCTTCTCAACATCCCACTGGATAACTCGAGCAACTGAGCGAGCACGGCGGTTTAGCAGCTAACGCAGATCTTCCCGTCCTCCATTTACAATTCTGAAATAGTTTGAAAGTTGGGGCAGACACCATCGCCTTCATAAAAACGAAGAGAAGTCCCAGCCTCTGCCGAAATATTTGCTGGGAAACGGGGGAGGGAGAGTTGATGGCGCTTGAAAGAACGGAGCCTTACTCGGAAAGAGCAGCCCGGCCACGGGGGCGCGTGGATCACTTATTCCCACGTTCCCAAAGGGAAGGAAGGGAGGGAAGAGCGGAGCAGCGAGTCGAGGCTCCGGAGGGTCCCCACCTCCCCAAGCCCTTTAGTATTCCTATGCTATCGGATTTGTACCCCGCCTTTTGTACCAG